AGAAAACCAGTGGTTGCCAGGCACTGGGGGAGAGTGACATGGGGAGCGACTGTTTAATGGTAGGGTCTCTTCTTGGGGTGATGAAAATGTTTTGAAACTAGATAGTGGTGATGGTTGCAAAGCATTTGAATGTACTAAGTGCCATAAATTTTATACTTTTTAATGGTTAAAACAGTGTATTTTATGTTAGTGAGTTTTACAGTAAAAAAAAAAGAAAATTAAGGGCTCAAATGCAGTGCATGGGGGGGAATGATATGGGGAAGAATGGGGAGATGCTGGCATCGTGGAAGCCAAAGGGAGCTAGAGAGTGCGGAGCTCCAGGGACTGAGCTAGAATCAGTGGGACTTCTGGCTCAGAAATGAGTCCTGGTTTTCTTTGGTGAACCCAGTTTTAGTTCTTTCTTAGCACTACTTCAGCATCTAATTCAGTTTACCCAAGATTCATATAGAAGTCATAAGTGGGCTAACAGTCTAATGTAGGTTGTAGATTTTTTTCCCTAGTATCTTTTGTTTTATTTTGTCATTTAATTTAATTTATTTTATTTTGTATAAATGTCTTTAGATGGGGTAAGCTTTCTCCAATTTTGTATGTCCCCCGTGGATCCCTACTATTTTAAATTATTCCAGTTTCATTTATTTATGATAACATGCCTGGTCCATGAAAGCATTTGTGTTTGCACCCCTGGTATTTAAGGAACTTACACATATAAAGCACAATGCTAGAAATATTGATAATTACTCCAAATGGGCTTTTGCTTCACAGAGTCTTCTTAAAATGAAGACACATGTAAATGGTTTATTACAACATAGGCAAGATAGTCATTTTCCTCATTAGTATAGCAGTGAGTATCCCCGCCTGCCACAGCATAGGCAGGATAAGTGCCCAAATGGTAATAACAACTAAGTGCATTGGGAACAAAGACAAATGTAAAGAACATGTAATATCTGATTCCCTTCCACTTTCGCTCATTGCATTGAGATTTTATTGTGGTGAATGCAGTTAAAGACAAATGGTATTTGTTAAGAAGCTGGAAAGAAATACCATCAAATCTGTAATTAATAGTCATCAGGGCATAACTTTATTGTAGCACACTTACAGCTCGGGAATGAGGAGTTGTATTTACATCTTTAATGAAAACAACTTTGGCATGTGTATATATATATATATATATGGAAAATATATACACTTGGATTCTTAGCAGTTTAACAGCAATGCTCTCGGGAACTAAAGCTGCTATGTATTGACGACTCCTGGGTGTTTTATATATGTCATTACTGATCCTCATAACAACCCTGCAAGTTAGTGTATGAGAATCTTGACATTAGTGAGGAGACGTTCTAAATATGTCCGAAGCCCTCAATTTCAAAATGTGGACATGGACCTTGGCTTTCCTGAATCACATTTTTTTCAAGAATCAGATGTCATTTGTGGATAGTCTCATGTTTCATTAAAAAAATTTTTTCCAACTATTAGAATCTTAGCTTTATCTCTGCTTTGCTAGCTATTTTAACAAACAAACAAACAAAAAACCCACAAAATCACCTTAGAGAAAGACTCCACAAAAAAATGAGTGGAGAACAGGAGCTGGCTAAGCTGGGCAGTCAGCTAAGATCACTCACTCACTGTGTGAGGATTTGTTCCAACACATCAGCCTCCTAGAACTGCCCAGAGTGTGCTTGTTCTCCATATATTCAAATTCTGCTGGAATGAACATAAATTTGCACAGCTTTATGGAAAAGTTTTATTATTATTATTATATATCCAAAGTTGTTTAAATGTTTGAGTCTTTGGACTCAGTAATTTATCCTAAGGAAAATAATAAGATATCCATAAAGATGTATGTGAATGTTGATAATTGTTAGTTATAACAGTGAAAACGTACAAGGTGACAGTTATCAGTTTATTGTCTCTGAGCTCCAAATTCACCCTTCTTTGTCTTCCTTTGTGTTACTCTAGCTAAGTCCTGTAAACGTTTCTTTTGCCAGCTGGCGGGATATTCATTTCATCAGTAGAGGGCACTGGGTGCAGTAGTTGCAAGAAAACACTTCTCTTCCAGGTTCCAGTCCTCCGTATACATTCTGAGCCCCACAGCCATAAGCAGGAGCTTGAGCTGCACCCTCAGGCCATCTCTCCCTATCTGCAGCCACTTGAGAGCAGCTTCAGCTGTCTGCACCCACAAGCAATGCTGGCCACTTCAACAGACACACTCTGGCCCGCCCACACCAACCAGCAAAGGCAGGTCACTCCTGCAGACCAGCTCCCGCCTACCAGCTCCCGCCTATCCACACCCAGCAGCCGTGATGAGCTGTTTTTACAGATCAGTGCCAGCCTGTGCCCTCAGCCAAGTTTTTTTTTTTTTTTGCCACTGCAGGCTGCCTGTGGTAGCAACTCCCTCTTTGAAGAGATTTGAATCTGAGCCTTGGGGCCCAGAGGGCTAATCCTAGTCCTTTATTGTTTCTATTCCTCAGGCTAGAGGTAGTACCTGCTTTTTTTTTTTTTAATTGGAGCATAGTTGATTAACAATGTCGTGTTAGTTTCAGGTGTACAGCAGAGCGATTCAGTTATACGTATACATTTATCTATTTTTCAAATTCTTTTCCCATTTAGGTTATTACAGGATATTAAGAGCGTTCCCTGTGCTATACAGTAGGTCCTGTTGGTAATCTGTTTTAAGTATAGCAGTGTGTACTTGTCAATTCCAAACTCCCAATCTATCCCTCCCTTCAACCCTTCCCCCCGGTAACCATAAGTTGTTCTCTAAGTCTATGAGTCTGTTTCTGTTTTATAAATAAGTTCATTTGTATCTTTTTTTTAGATTCTGCATATAAGTGATATCATATGATATTTATTTTTCTCTGACTTACTTCACTTAGTATGATAATCTCCAGGTCTATCCATGTTGCTGCAAATGGCACTATTTCATTCTTTTTAATGGCTGAGTGATATTCCTTTGTATATATGTACCACATCTTCTTTATCCATTCATCTGTCGATGGACACTTAGGTTGCTTCCATGTCTTGGCTATTGTAAACAGTGCTGCGATGAACATTGGGGTGCATGTATCCTTTTGAACCATGTTTCAAAAAACCATGTTTCAAAAAACCATGTTTTTTTCTGGATATATGCCCAGGAGCGGGATTGCTAGATCATATGGTCGCTCTATTTTTAGTTGCTTAAGGAGCCTCCATACTGTTCTCCATCGTGACTGCATCAATTTACATTACCACCAACAGTGTAGGAGGGTTCCCTTTTCTTCACCCCCTCTCCAGCATTTATTGTTTGTAGTTTTTTTTTTTTTTTCGGCACGTGGGCCTCTCACTGTTGTGGCCTCTCCCGTTGCGGAGCACAGGCTCCAGACGTGCAGGCTCAGCGGCCATGGCTCACGGGCCCAGCCGCTCTGCGGCATGTGGGATCTTCCCGGACCGGGGCACGAACCTGTGTCCCCTGCATCGGCAGGCAGACTCTCAACCACTGCACCACCAGGGAAGCGCTGTAGATTTTTTTAATGATGGCCATTCTGACTGGTACGAGGTGATATCTCATTATAGTTTTGATTTGCATTTCTCTAATAATTAGCAATGTTGAACATCTTTTCATGTGCCTCTTGGCCATCTGTATGTCTTCTCTGGAGAAATGTCTATTTAGGTCTTCTGCTCATTTTTTTGCAATATGCGGGCCTCTCACTGTTGTGGCCTCTCCTGTTGCAGAGCAGAGTCTCCGGACGCACAGGCTCAGCAGCCATGGCTCACGGGCCCAGCCACTCCGCGGCATGTGGGATCTTCCTGGACCGGGGCATGAACCCATGTCCCCTGCATCGGCAGGCGGGCTCTCAACCACTGCGCCACCAGGGAAACCCCTGCCCATTTTTTTATTGGGTTTTTTTTTTTTTTTGATATTGAGCTGCATGAGCTGTTTGTAAATTTTGAAGACTAATCCCTTGTAGGTCACGACATTTGCAAATATTTTCTCCCATTCTGTGGGTTGTCTTTTTGTTTTGTTTATGGTTTCCTTTGCTCTGCAAAAGCTTTTGAGTTTAATTAGGTCCCATTTCTTTATGTTTGTTTTTATTTTGTTTATTTTATTATTTTTCTTTATTTTGTTCCTGGTGGGCTTTGACTGAAGGGCACTGACAGCTCCCAATATTATTCCATTTTATGGATGTATCCTCGTTTATTTAACTAATCCTTTATTGTTGAGCTTTTAACTTCTATATCAGTCAAGGTCTAGTTAGGAGACAGAAACCATGACAGTTATTTGAACAGGGAAAAATTAATACTCCCACAAAATAACTACTAAAAGAGGTAAAAGTGGGCTTTAAGAGATCCAAGTATCACAAATTAAAAGAGCAGGTAATTTAAAGTTAGAGCCCCCTTAGAGCCCACTCGTACCTCTTTTAGTAGTTATTTTTTTGGTATTAATTTTTCCCTGTTCAAATAACTAGTGGTTTCTGTCTCCCAACTGGACCTTGACTGATATAGAAGTTAAAAGCTCAACAATAAAGGATTAGTTAAATTAATGAGGATACATCCATAAAATGGAATAATATTGGGAGCTGTCAGTGCCCTTCAGTCAAAGCCCACCAGGAACACACTTGTAGCTAAACAAGTTGGATTTGTTACTTTGTAGAAAGGGAGAATACACATCAGGGGAAAACCACAGGATGTTTCAGTAGGAATGTGTTAGAAAGAACCCATTATAGGATTTGCGATTTGGTTGGATGATTTGGGGGAAGGTTTAAGAAAGAAATTTGGTCTAGATTGTGTGTTGTCAGAATGTGGGGGTAATTCTATGGTTGGACATTTTGCAGTTGCCATAGTGATGTGTTTTTGTCTGTACTTACACAAAGTTATGAAGAGACCTTTCTTTATTTCATCCTGTCATGATCTCAGAGTAACCTTGTCTAAGGCTGGTATTCTGTGAGATTGTTTATGTCCAATAGGAGACTAACATGGCCTTGCTCTGAATGTTAGATTGGTTCTGAACATGAGTTCTTTTTCAGAGCTTTCAGCTATCATGTAAGAAGTCTGCCTACCCTGGGGCCACCACATGGAGTGACCACATACTTACATATAGAGAGAGATGGCCCAGAGTTCAAGTCTCCAGCTATTGAAGGCTTCCATCCTGGCTAACAGACAATTGAATGAAGACGACTTTGAGATGCTGTCAGCCCCAACCATTGTCTGACCACAACTACGTGAGAGACCTGCATGCAGTCAGAACTACCAGCTGAGCCAAGCTGACCTCCAGACTTGTGAGTAAAATAAATAATTACCATTGATTTGAGTTACTATTTGGGGGTGGTTTGTTTTACAGTAACAGATGACTGATACAATGTCGGATAGGCAGTTAGCTCTATAGTTCTGGAGCTCAGGAGAGAGATCAGACATGGTGGTACAGATCAGGAAGTCCTTTAGCAAGGAGAAAGCACTTGAAGTCATAGATGAAGTCATCAGGGAGATAATGTACATTGAGAAGAAAAAAAAGAACCCACAGTGGCACCTTTACAATAACACTAAAGTGATCAAGACGAAAGAAGAATTTGCAAGGAGACTGAGAAGGAGTTATCAGATGACATCCATGAGAGATGAATGTTAAGGAAGTCAAGAATGAGAGTATGAAGAAAGAGGGCATTTTCCACAGAGTCAAATGCTGTGGCGGGAGATCAAGTAAGACAAAGACCGAAAAGTGTTCTTTGGATTGAGCAACAGTGAGTTTACCTTGTTGGAAAAAGTAGTTTCAGGGGGTTTCCCTGGTGGCGCAGTGGTTGAGAGTCCGCCTGCTGATGCAGGGGACACAGGTTCGTGCCCTGGTCCAGGAAGATCCCACATGCCGCGGAGTGGCTGGGCCCGTGAGCCATGGCCGCTGAGCCTGCGCGTCCGGAGCACACGCAACGGGAGAGGCCACAACTGTGAGAGGCCCGCGTACAGCAAAAAGAAAAAAAAAAAAGTAGTTTCAGGGAAACTAGGGGCTAGGCAGTGATGGGGGCAGAAGCCAGATTGCAGAGATAAGGAGAGAGGAGAAGATCAGAAAGATACCAAATCCTATGCTGTTTTACTGCATCATGCTGACTTCCTGCATACTATTCGTCTGTATATAATTTTTTCTACAATTCAGTAACCCAATAAAACAATCACATCATGTCATGAACCTTACAATTCCACAAAAGCATGGGTATATCATGTCCTGTTATATATTTAGTGTCATACTTTAACCTGCAGTTTCCAGTTATAAATGCATTACTCTGTGTGTTTGTCTGTCATTATAATCACTTTAAATCTCTCACTGTTTATTTCTCTTGAAAGTAAAATAGCTCATCATTTAAAATAGTACTCAGTGTTCAGTGTTCATTGGTGCCTTGTAATTACTTCAGAAAAACAATCTCAGTTTACAGGTTATAAACTCCTGAAGCATCTCTGCAGGAGGAATAGCTTACTTTCACCAGAAAAGTCTAGGGAAAATTATTCTAGTCATAGCCTGCTAATTCATTGGCCTGATTGTCAGAGCTCCCATGACAGTTCACTCTCTTGGGAGGCTGGTGTGGGGCTCTGCTTATCCAAGGGGGAGGTCAAGGCCTCCTTGGCAACAGGGAATGAGTTGCAAGGGGGTTGTGGAAAGAAATTCTTTTCAATTCAACCTGTAAGTAGATCTGGACATAATGGCCTCATCTGGCTCCTCTAAGTCTCTCTTTCCCCCTTCTTTTTAAAGGGCAAATCTTATCCCTAACTCTTTCATTATTTGCTTATGGTTTCCTTGCCAAAGATGCGTGGAGGTAAGCACTATGATGAGGATGGGAGTTAAGGGTTTTTGAATGAAGAGTTTACGTTTCAAAGGACTTGAAATTTATATTTCAAATGTCACTTCCCAATGAGCCTTTACACGTAAACAAAACATGATCAACAGACTTGGAAGGTGAGGAATAGCTTGCATGTTTGACTCCTGTTGCATTCCTGTGCTATACTGCCTGTAACATTTTTTTTTTTTTTTTTTTTTTTTTGGCGATAAACAGGCCTCTTACTGTTGTGGCCTCTCCCGTTGCGGAGCACAGGCTCCGGACGCGCAGGCTCAGCGGCCATGGCTCACGGGCCCAGCCACTCCGCGGCACGTGGGATCTTCCCGGACCGGGACACGAACCCGTGTCCCCTGCATCGGCAGGCGGACTCTCAACCACTGTGCCCCCAGGGAAGCCCCTGTAACATTTTTTAATAGATTCTATAGTTACCTTGTAAATATCACCATTGAGTATATTATATTTAAAAACATTCTTTTGTTAGGTGTAGAAGTTTAAAAAGTACTATTATTTTTAAAAATCTGGTTTTGGCATTTTTTCATATTTTAGGATATTAGAAGCCTCTAAAATGGAAATTTTGTGGGCAGTTCTCAGCATTTGAGAAGCCCTTCCTGGGGCAATAACTTTTACCCTGTGTGGAAAGGTGTGGAGGATAATTCTGTGAGTGCTCAGAGGGGTTTGAAAAGTTGGAAACGAACACTCGTGCATTGAGCACGTTTTGTTGTGCTTAGCACCGTACTAGGGGCTACACATTCTACATTTAATCATGGAGAATTGCCTGGAATGAGGCCTGAGAACACAAAGTCCTGGAGGAGATGATTTGAGCTGTCAGCAGAAGGGAAACTGCAGTATGTGGGACTTAAAAACAGCTTGCATGGGGTATGGGATAAGGGTAGAGGGAAAAAAATCTTGGCAAATTTATTCTGCACAAATACTTGTGTCATCCTCATTTGTGTAGACTTTGTGACTTTTTCCCTGGGTTCATCTGGTTGGCAGATGGATGTAAATGCCTTTTAGCCTCAAAGAAGGCACACAGAAGGCACGTACGAATCTTGGCTGTGTGATAAACAGAAGCTGAGCTTCAGAGAATTTCTGGTATGTGTGCGTGTTTGTGTGCACGCGAGCATGTATGCACGCGTTGGGGCTGAACGTACCACTGGTTTAAATCTGATTTTCAACTGGGAAGATTTCACGTACTTCTTTAGTGTGGCCCAAGTGAATATAATTTTGGCAGTGAAAAGTAGAGCATGTTCCAAAAGTTCTTTTCTTTTGCCATCAGGGATAGCAGTACTTTTATTTATAGTAATTTCAGGTCCCCAAATACCTTCAGCAGTATTAATGGAGCAAACAACAAAAAAAATTAAGCAGCAGATGATTAGATCATGTGTTATTTTATTGAGTACTTTATTTTCTTGCCTTTGGAAAATACAGGCCTTCTTTTCTCAACTGTGGTAATAGCTAATTCTTTTTATTTTAAAACATCTTTATTGGAGTATCATTGCTTTACAATGGTGTGTTAGTTTCTGCTTTAGAACAGAGTGAATCAGCTATACATATACATATATCCCCATATCTCCTCCCTTTTGCATCTCCCTCCCACCTTCCCTATCCCCCCTGAGCTGATCTCCCTCTGCTATGTGGCTGCTTCCCACTAGCTATCTATTTTACACTTGGTAGTATATATAAATCCATGCCACTCTCTCACTTCGTCCCAGCTTACCCTTCCCCCTCCCCATGTCCTCAAGTCCATTCTCTACATCTGCATCTTTATTCCTGTCCTGCCCCTAGGTTCTTCATAACCATTTTTTTTAAGATTCCATATATATGTGTTAGCATACAGTATTTACTTTTCTCTTTCTGACTTACTTCACTCTGTATGACAGGATCTAGGTCCATCCACCTCACTACAAATAACTCAATTTTGTTTCTTTTTATGGCAGAGTAATATTCCATTGTATATATGTGCCACATCTTCTTTATCCATTCGTCTGTCGATGGACACTTAGGTTGCTTCCATGTCCTGGCTATTGCTGCTACTTTACCAAATTCATTGATTAGCTCTAGTACTTTTCTGGTAGAGTCTTTTGGATTCTCTATGTATAGTGTCATGTCATCTGCAAACAGTGACAGTTTTACTTCTTCTTTTCTGATTTGGATTCCTTTTATCTCTTTTTCGTCTCTGATTGTTGTGGCTAAAACTTCTAAAACTATGTTGAATAATAGTGGTGAGAGTGGGCAACTTTGTCTTGTTCCAGATCTTAGTGGACATGGTTTCAGTTTTTCACCATTGAGAATGATGTTGGCTGTGGTTTTGTCATATATGGCCTTTATTATGTTGAGGTAAGTTCCCTCTATGCCTACTTTCTGGAGGGTTTTTATCATAAATGGGTGTTGAATTTTGTCGAAAGCTTTTTCTGCATCTATTGAGATGATCATACGGTTTTTCTCCTTCAATTTGTTAATATGGTGTATCACATTGATTGATTTGCGTATATTGAAGAATCCTTGCATTCCTGGGATAAACCCCACTTGATCATGGTGTATGATCCTTTTAATGTGCTGTTGGATTCTCTTTGTTAATATTTTGTTGAGGATTTTTGCATCTATGTTCATCAGTGATGTTGGCCTGTAGTTTTCTTTCTTTATGACATCTTGGTCTGGTTTTGGTATCAAGGTGATGGTGGCCTCGTAGAATGAGTTTGGGAATGTTCCTGCCTCTGCTATATTTTGGAAGCCTTTGAGAAGGATAGGTCTTAGCTCTCCTCTAAATATGTGATAGAATTGGTCTGTGAAGCCATCTGTTCCTAGGCTTTTGTTTGTTGGAAGATTTTTAATCACAGTCTCAGTTTCAGTGCTTGTGATTGGTCTGTTTATATTTTCTATTTCTTCCTGATATAATTTTTTTCTAAGATTTATTTAAAAGGAATATTCTTGCCTGTGCAACAAGAATATGGACAGTACAATTGACCTTGTCTCTTACTCTTGATGATTTAAAGAAAAATACATACATAAGAATCAAATCCTTTCAATTTGTTAATATTTATTATAATAGAAATATACATGGAATGGGAATATACATGAAATGAAGCTATATTGGAAACATACAGCAGTAACTAGAAAAATGTCTATTATTTATTGAGCAACTACTATATACTACATTCTTTCATATACTCATTACCTAATTTATATTCAAAGAATCCTATTAAGGTATGTTTTAGGATCACCATTTGTTCCAGTTTTGTCTCAAAAATATTAGGTAATTACTCCAAGGACTCTGAATAGCAAAGCTGGGAGCTTGAACCTAAGTTTGGCCAACTCTGAAGTTTATATTCTTTCCACTCAAACATGCTGCCCCTTAAAGTCATGCAATTACTGGTAATGACACTCAGTTCTATCACTAGGAAGGCAACTGTGTTTATTAGTCAACACTGTTCATATTCAAAGAACCATTTACTGAACTTCTGCTTTCTTCTAGACATGATGATAAATGATGTGGAATCTAGAGATCAAAGATGAGGTGTCCCTGCCTTCACAGAACCCACAGGTTAGTGGGAAAGTCTAGGAAGAATATTAATGATTATGGTGCAGGATGTTAGACATTATGAGAAATATAACAACAAGCTACTACTAGAGCCTGGAAAAGACCACAGGCTCTGTGTGCATGTGTGGTGTGTGTGGTGTGTTTGACTGAGGTAAGATAAAGGACATTCAAATGGAACAGCACGTGCAAAGTAAAGTGATGGAGAACATATGGCTTATATGAAAAACTGAAAATTGTTTGGTTTACCTGGAACATAGTGGTAATGGGTGGCAGAGTGATGGGAAATGAGAATAAAAGGTTTTGAGAGGGACTTCCCTGGTGGTCCAGTGGCTAAGACTTTGCGTTTCCACTGCAGGGGGGCACAGGTTTGATCCCTGGTAGGGGAACTAAGATCCCACATGCTGCATGGCCAAAAAAAAAGCCTTTGAGAATGGTGAAATCAAGGATTTTACTTTCTGTATGGCCATAAACTTTCAAAATTGTCTTGATAAGATAAATATTTTCCTTCCTATCTTTTGAAGACACACTGTACTATCATAGTATTTTCCCAAAGAGGAAATGCAATTAGCACACAAGTATATGGGAAAAATAGTCTTATTGGTAATCAAAGTAAAGAAAAATATTAACCCAACCAAAGGATGAAACTAATAAAAATATCCAGTATTGATAAGTATAAGATGAGCTAGGCATATTTGTATTTTGCTGATTGTTCTATAAACTGGTCCAACACTTTTGTAAAGTTAAATATATATTAAGATATTTTAAATGTTTATGCCCTTTGAATCAATGGCACTAGTTTTGGAACTCTGTAATAAGAGAGCTATAAATATTTATTGCAAGTTTCTTTAATGGTGAACCATTAGAATCAGCCTAAGTCGCCAGAGTGCATCACTTTGATGCAACTTAAGGTACCATTAAAAATTATGTTTATGAATAGCATATAAAATGCATTTAACACAATTCTAGCTAAAAAAGTAGGATACTGAAATTGTATATATACATATATATATATACATACACACACATATATATCCCTTCTCCCACTCCCCTACACCATATAAAACTATGCATTTTGTGTATACACACACACACACACACACACATTTGTATCCCCTGTCTTCCACTCCCCTAACACCCAATAAAAGTATACATTAAAAAAGAAACTGGAAATAAATCCACAGAATGTTAATGGTGGTAGTTGGGTTTTAGTGATAGGACTATGGGGAATTTTTTCTTTTTCCTTTTTTTTTTTTCTTTTTACTTTTATGCATTTTCCATATATTCTTTAATGATTGTTTAACTGTCAGAAATAGTACTAAATATTTTGTTAATGAATAGGAAAAGATGCTTGTAGAGTCCAGTTTTATTTTTTTGTTTCCTGTTGTCTGGTAAACTATTCTCAGATAGACCTGGCCCGCAATTATCTGCAAGGGGATAATTCTTTTAAAAAATTCCCAGTATTGGCAAACTTTCTCTTGGAATAGCTCTGCTGAACTCAAATGAGATCTTTTCTCCCTAAGCTACTTGCCCTTCTGTTTTTCTGGAAAGATGGAATTCATGAAAAATTACAATCTACAGTCTACAAATTGCTATGTACTACAGGGTCTATTAAAGAACATGACATTTTATTTTGTGAACTATATCTCCCAGGCTACAATGCCCCATAGCTAGTCTCACATCAAATGCAACCTTCCTGAACAGTCGTTTTCTCAAAGCTCCTGTCTCTTTAGAAAGTAAGTTGTTAGGGAAAGCAGAAAGTAATTTGTTAGGGAGAGCAGGTGGCTCTGAAAACATCAGCCATCCACACACTCTACCTCTTTGAGAATAGTGAATCTGAACAAGTGTCTCCTTGTCAAGGATGAACAATCACAAAAGATGTTAATGAAGCCCATAAAAATAAGAGCAGGGTGTAAGAAAACATGACCATTATGAAATAGCACAAAGCTATGAGGAAAGAACAAGCCGGATGAGAAGATACCAAGTGAGACTGAAAGAGATGGGAGAGATAGTAAAGACTGACAAGGAACTAAAGTAATGCAAAAACAATAAAACATTCATGCCAAGGGAGTAAAGAGTCAATGATGCGTATACTCACATGGAAAACAAACTTGAGAAATTTTTGCAGAACATAGAATAAAAGGACAAGAAGATGGAAAAGGAAAAGGTCATGGATATAGAGGGCAAAGAATGGAGTTTAAGCTAAAGCTAAGAACTTTAAGTACTCCTAAGGAACCAACAAAGATAATATAAACAGAATAAATATTAAAAATATAATGGAATAAAATGACTCTGTTGAAAGAAGTCAAAGTATGTAGATTGAAAAGGTTCACAGATTCTAGTAAAAAGCATTCAGAACAACCCCCCCCCAAAGAAATACTGCAAAGTCCATTATTACAACTACATTAATTATTAGGATTTTAAAAATAAGTGCTCAGGAAGTAGAAAAAATTTGCCAATAAAGGAACTAAAATTAAACTCTTTCTTATGTAACTCTAAATTCCAGAAGAACTTGGAGATATATCTGCAAGCTTTGCAAGAGGCTGGATTAAGATGTGGATATTCGGGACTTCCCTGGTGGCACAGTGGGTAAGAATCCACCTGCCAGTGCAGGGGACACGGGTTCGACCCCTGGTCCAGGAGGATCCCATATGCCGCGGAGCAACTAAGCCCGTGTGCCACAACTACTGAGCCTGCGCTTTGGAGCCCCCGAGCCACAACTGCTGAGGCCCGCGTGCCTAGAGCCCGAGCTCTGCAAAAAGAGAAGCCACCACAATGAGAAGCCCAGCAATGAGAAGCCCACGCACCGCAATGAAGGGTAGCCCCCCACTCACTGCAACTAGAGAAAGTGCACGTGCAGCAACGAAGACCCAATGCAGCCAAAAAAAAATTTTTTTAAGTAGATATTCAAAATTAGGTAAGCACACTTTCATTGACAAAGGTGGTAGAAAGATGTACTTTTAGAAGTAGAAGTTCTCTACCCCTATATACTTTTCTGCAAAATATAAGATAAAATATAAATAAAATGGGCTTGACAGTGTACATTAATCACTGACAGATGATTCAAAAACATAATTTAATAACAAGAATGTTAGCATTTAAAAGATGTGTAGAATTTTTCCTTATCCAATTTGCTCAACAAATTTGTGGATCCATAATAACTTGATATATTTTGTTGCTTAAAGGGGAAGCTTGGCCTTACCTTTTCTGTTTTTGCTCTTTTCATGGTACAGGAAATATATTTTTGCTAACCAGTTATTCACTTCATGTTTAAAGTGGTCTTTGTTGCCCTTTTGTATGGCTGTTGTGTTAGGTCAAAGGTAGTTTCCCGCCACATGCCTAGGCCACTTTTATTTATTTATTTATTTGCAGTACGCGGGCCTCTAACTGTTGTGGCCTCTCCCGTTGCGGAGCACAGGCTCCGGACGCGCAGGCTCAGCGGCCATGGCTCACGGGCCCAGCCGCTCCGCGGCATGTGGGATCTTCCCGGACCGGGGCACGAACCCATGTCCCCTGCATCGGCAGGCAGACTCTCAACCACTGTGCCACCAGGGAAGCCCTTAGGCCACTTTTAAATGATGTGGCACTGCCCTCAGTTCCTACTGTGGGGACCACATGCTTTGTCCTACTTGGGTGCAGCCAAAATTGGACCATGGTGGGCACCTGACCCATGACCACCAAATTATAGGTGATTAAAAGAATGGGAGCTGAGTCAGACTGTCTAGGTCCTAATCTAAGGTTTGCCACTTGACTTTGATCTTCATTTTCTTCTTTCATAAAATGAGCTTAATGATTATTCCTATTTGATTTGTTTGAAGTAAGGATTTAGAGTTAAACCATATGCTGTTTGGTACACGATACCTAATCCTGTTGCATGTTATTGTTATTATTATTATTTGAAAAGATGGGGTAAGTCAATCAAATTCTCTCTCCTCTTTTGAATTTGATTTGGGAAAATCAGAATCAGGCAGCTAGCAATGGGAATAAGAGTTTAAAGCATGCATAGAGAGGAGCTATGAGATAGAGTTGCCAGAGGTGATGGCAATCTGGAGTTCACAGATAGGGGAAACTAGATTAAGCGGATTGTGTCTTTAGGCAAATCTGATATAAACCCAGGCAGAGTCACATCACCTCGCTGAATGCGTGCCCTACAACAGTTGTTTTTAGCACATATACATTCACCCCTTAGAGACAGTTTCTCTCTTCTATGACTGCTGGACCTTTCAGCTTCACTAAATAGGGTAGCTCCCTGTTACGGACTGAATGTTTGTATTCCCAGAAAATTCATATGCTGAAATCCTCATAATGTGATGATATTAGGAGGTGGGTGGGAGGGCCTTTGGATGGTGATTAGATCATCAGGGTAGAACCCTCATGAATGGGATTACTGCCCTTATAAAAGAGACTACAGAGAGGTCTCAAGTCCTCTTTCTGCCAGGTGAGAATAAAATGGGAAGACTGCAGTATGCAACTAGGAGAGGGCTCTCTTCAGAACCCAACCATGTTGACACCCGAGCGAACTATGAGAAATAAATTTAGCCTCCAGAACTGTGAGAAATAAATTTCTGTTGTTTAAGCCACCCAGTCTGTGGTACTTTGTTATAGTGGCCTGAACAGACTAAGATACTCTCATTATACAGGGAAATCTGCCAGAGTTAAAGGTAAGAAAAGGGAACCTGGGATCCAGAATAGGGTTGAAGTGATCTTCCATTCTTCCTTTGATGTCTAGTCTGCCTTCTGTCTCTGCCAAGCAACAGAATAAAGACCAAGCTTCTACCCATAGCAGGCAAGGCCTGCCCTGATGTGAGGATGGGCCAGCTTAAAGGAGCCTTACTAAGTGCATTTGGTAAAGAAATTTGTGTACATTTCAATTAGTAACATATCTAACTTGTTTGGACTTTTACAATTTCTAAGAATAATTATGAAAAATGAGGTCATTCAAAAGGCTCATTTTCTAAGATTTCAGTATATAGTTAGCAATGTGGTATGGAATAAATAAAATGGCA